AAAAAAAAAAAAAAAAAAAAAAAGACCTAATTCCCCCCCCCCCCTTCTCAAAGGCAAGGATTCCTACATTTGAGAAATCATGAGTTGGTGTATTAGGAGGCTGCTATGACTTTCAAGGGGGTGGCAGCTGCAGGATTCCCTTCCTCTGTACCTATTCTGGCCAAACTCACTCATACCCTGGAGCCCATAGTCCCTTCCCTTCTCCCTCATCCCCTCCCCATGCTTATGAGGGTACAGAGATATATAATGATGATGTGAAAGGAAAATTACAAGTCAATGGGTGAATGGAGATTTTAGAACAGTACGTAACGGCAGAGCATGGAGGAATGATTTTAAAAAACCTCCTGTGTGAACATCCTTCAAAGAGTCATCAGACAAATTGTCTCTGATTTATCTGCAGTAAGAGGATTTTATTTTGCCTGCTCTGATCTAAGTCCTTCCAATGACATAATGAGTCCCCCAAAGACCCCATGTGGATGTGTTTTCTGGGTTAGATGTCTAGGTCATGTGATGCTTTCTCAATCCAGGGATTGCAAACACCCACTATCCAGGAAGAAACACACATATGCCAACCTGGGTACATGACCTCTTTCACCTTTATTGACAGCAAGGTCTGCCACGTAGGGGAGTTTTGGCCACCAGAGAAGGAGGTGAACGGAGTGACAGAATATTCTCTAGTGGAGATTTTGGCTTGTGAAGGGCAGGAGAAGATAAGCCTTGTAGTGTCTGGCAGCTGTGTCACTTCATCTGGAAGAAGATGGCTGGAATAATGGAGAACACACAGGTGAATCACCCCCATGCTTCCAGGAAAACCAGCCCAGCAGAGTCTACCTGCCTGGCTGGAGTCAGAGCTGCTTCTGTACATATATAAGCTCTCTCTTCTACTAGTGCCAAAGCAATAAACCCATCTCTGCCCACTGGGAAGCAAGCAGGGGATAGAGAGGGGAGAAACTACAGATGTTCTGTTGTTCCCCTTCCCTCACCCATCTTCATAAGCCCCTCTGCCTACTGCTCTGGAGAGGTCTCATGGATAACTTGTGATGGTCTCCATCCCATAAAGTCTGAAAAAGCAGGGGTAAGAGTCTCCAGGAGCATTGCTTCCAGCAGTGGGTGACACTGCTCCCTATGTCTGGCCATGTAGATGGGCTCAGACAGCAGGAAAAGAGACTCTAAGAGCCTTACCAGAAGCTTCAGCATAGAGGGTGGACTTGTCACTGCTTTGGGCTTCACATGAGAGAAACACCTTTCTTCCTTCTGTGCCAGTGATCCTGGCCTCAAGTCTCACCACAGAGCCCAGGGTGATGGGGCTGAAAGACCAGAGGGTGAGAATGGCTTCTGGACTGGTTTCTTAGGGTGGGGTGCATGCATGTCTTTAGGAAGTGGCCTTGTCCATGCAGAGTGGGGTCCACACATTCTCCTCCAGGGACTGAAATGTGATGGGTAATGGAAGGAAGATGGGGCATAAAACAATCCCAGGTGGTGTGGTGTTTTGGGTTTTATCATTGTAAGGAAGCCACAAATCACTTCACCAGCATTTTGGCCCACCAGCTCCCCATGTTCTGGAAAAAATCAAACTCTTGCTGTCTTCACAACTGGGAAACATATGCAACATTTTGCCCAATAGTTTATAAACATAAGCTCATATTTCTGGTCACAGTTCTCCCAGGTCCTGAGCACTCTGTCTTGCTCATAGGAGTGAACAGAACTCACTTGCAGTTTGTCTAGTATCAAGTAGGGAATCACTCATCTTTTTTTTTTTTTGAGACAGGGTCTTGCTCTATAGTTCAAGTTGGTCTTGAACTCACAGCAATCCTCTTGCCTCAGGCTCCCTAGTCCTGGGATTACAGGCATGTGTTCCCACGCCCCCAGGGTTTCTTTATTTTTGGCAGAATGGCTCTATTTCTAAGCCAGCATCCCTTTTGTGATGGTCACTTTTATGAGTCAACTTATCTAAGTACACATTATACCCAGTTCTGCAATTAAACACCATTCTAGGTGTTGTGAAAATATTTCATAAATGACTGTTAACATTTAGGATCACTTGACCTCAAGTAAAGATTATCTTTGCCAGGCATGATGGTGCACACCTGTAATCTCAGTACTCTGGGGAGCTGAGGCAGGTGGATCACAAGTTTGAGTCCAGCCTGGGCAACTTAGCAACTTAGGGAGACCCTGTCTCAAAATTTAAAACGGGGTGGTGGAGGGGTAATGTAGTTCTGTGCAAAGGCTCTGGGTTCTGTCCACAGTACTGCAAAAAATCTTCGATAATCTGGGAATCTGGGTTTGCTTTATTCAATCAGTTGAAAGCCTTAGGACAATGCCAGGGCTTTTCCATAAGGGAGAGATTCTACCTCATACCTGCAGCATCAGCTCCTGCCCAAGCGTTTCCACCCTGCCAGCCTCGGAGAGAATAGGCTGTGTCCTTCTCTCCCTGTGAGTCCTCCAGAGCCTAGTGAGGCAGAGGAGTTTTATGGAAAAAAAGTAGATCTTGGGATTTCTGCATTTGGTCCTGGTTTAGATACCAGCTACCTCTATATTCACCTCACTGTCCTTATTTGTCAACTTGGAGATAACACTACCTAGCTTCCAGGATTACTGTAAAGAACAAAGGTATATGGAAATGTTTCCTAAACCAATAACCAAATATAAGAAATCCAATCCAATTCAATCCATTACACTACAATACAATCATAGGAGCTCAGTGATTATTTGTTGGCTGAGTTAATTTTTTTTATTCAGTACCAGGGATCGAACTTAGGACGTTGTGCTTGCCAGGCAGGTACAGGGCCACTGAGCTACATCCCCAGCCCACAGCTGAGTTAAATAGTAACAAGCACTTTGGTCAGAATTCTCTACCCCAGGGAGGGCCAAAAGCATTCTATGTAGAATATTTTTATGTTTTAAGCACACAAACCATCTTCAACATTCCTGTCCTTCAATAAAGAAAGAGCATCTAACAAGATTAAGTTGGTCAATGTGAGAATTAAAATAAAAATTTCTCTTTGCAATAAAGTTTTTTTTTTTGTACCAGGGATCAAACTCAGGACCTTGCACTTGCCAGGCAGGCATGGCACCACTGAGCTAAATCCCCAGCCTGCAATAAAGATTATTATACAAGTCTATATTTCCCATCATAATACAGTGGAACGACCCAATGCCAGCCTATTTCTAACTTGAACACAGACAAGGAAACAGACCTCTTGAAGGTAATGGTCATTGTCCCTGTAAAGACTGCATTGGCACTGAGGTACGCTGTCATGAAAAGTGTGGTGTCTATCATGGTCCCCAGTGCACCACCGTGGATAATCCTGTAGGGGAGAAAGGTTAAGAAATTGTCACTGCATGCCACAGGGCCAGGTACTAGTGAGGGAGATGGTGAAGGGTCCCTGCCACCAGGACCAGAGTGTGGCCTCCCTTCTTGTGCAGCAGGGGAGCAGGCAACACAAATGCACAGGGAAGACAAGCAAAGTTGTCTAATGCAAGTTATGCCTTCCCAGAACACAGACCCAGTCAACCTCAAACTCTGGTGAATTGTGTTCCCTCCTGGGTTATAGTCTTGGGGGCCAATAGAGTGGTGCAGTGCAGATGTCGTGGGGTTTTGGGCAGAAAGTCCTAACTCTGAGTCTCACATTTCCAGCCCTGTGACCTCAGTCACATAACCTCTTGGGGCATCTGTTTCTTTATCTATAAAACAGGAAAAAAGTCATCTCTCCTGAGAGTTTTTGTAACCATTAAAATTGAGTGTGTAGCTCAGTGGTAGATTGCTTGCCTAGTATGTGTGAGACACTGGATCTGATCCTCAACATATACACATACAAACACACACATGCACACCAAAAAACACCAAAAATTAACATAGCCTAAGCTCTTGGTGGTACAGGGTCTGGCACTGAACAAAACTCATCCATCACTTATTCCTCTGCAGTTTAGGAAGGTGAATATCAGTGAGGAAGAACTCCATGCCAGGCATGGTGTTACATACCTATAATCTCAGCATACCAGAGCTCAGGGGGTGCTGAGGAACGAAGATAATGAGCTCAAGGCCAGCCTGGGCTCACATCAGAAGATCCAGAAGATCCAGTCAAAGGGGGGGCGGGGAGAGGAGAGGAGGGGAGGGAAGGGAAGAAATTCCACAATCACAGTATCACAATGGGCTGGGAATAGGGTGGGTAGCTAGAGGAGTTTCCTGCCTAGGAAGCCAGTAGAACAAGGCATATGTCCTTGGTACTTCTGTAACCAGGAACCTGCAGAAGCGGCCATAGAGCTGCCAACCCCCTCTCCCCCCATATTCTGCTCTTTGGCCAAGAAAAAGCCTACATGAGCTGCCTGCTGGGATGGTCCTCCATGCCTTACCCTGGCAGTCCCTCCAGGAGGGGCCCAGGCTGGAACAAGCAGACGCACTTCTTCTCTGAGTCGTTGTGGAAGATGGCATGCTCAAAGCCCAGCCCCTCGAGTCCCTGCACCTCCGCGATCCTGAGAAATAGGCGGCTGCCATCTTCTGTCGTTTGCACTAGAGAAAAGTGTCAGGTCAGTGAGAGGGGCCTCAGGCTGGAGAACCACCCTCAGGCAGTGCAGATCTCTGGAGCAAAAGAGGCCTGACCACAGTGGTCCTCAGGAAAACCCTCTTCCCTCAAGGTCCACTCCGTCCCTCCCTTAAAGGAAAGGATTTGGGAGTTATTCATATAAGAGTTATCTATACAGTATGACCCCCAAGGATGATGGAAGGGTTAATAGTCCTTCCTTAGAAGCTGTAAAATCCAATACTTAATCAAACATTTTTGTTCTAAGAATTTCTTAGAAATTCTTAGATTGGGTGTGTAAAATTAGAAATCTTCCAAATGTTTCCCACCCCATGTCTTTTTTTCTTCTTTTTACTTACTTATTTATTTGTTTGTTTGTTTATTTATTTGTTCGGTTTTTTTGGTACCGGGATCGAACTTGGGACCTTGCGCTTGTGAGGCAGGCGCCGGAACCACTGAGCTAAATCCCCGGCCCACTAATTTATTTTTTATCAGCACATGTTGTAATAATGTTTACATTCATTTTAAGGACTAGGTATATGTACTTAACATATCTTAACTCTTTTTATTCCCCTTCTTTCACCCTCCCTCCCTCTCTAGATCCCTTTCCCACATTTTCATTTTATATTTTTTTAGTTCATGTTTGCAACGCATGGTGATTACATTCATTGTGGGGAGCTGATGCTTGCGCACAACACATCTCAACCACCCCACGTCTTTTATATGCCTGTTACATTTCCTGCCATTCTTTCCACCCATTCATCCCCTTTCACACATTCAAACTACAGCTTAAATTGACCACTAGAGGGAGCATATGTTGTGTCCCCAGCAAATTCTGGCTCTTGACATCGGGTAAAGGCTTGTGCCTTAATAGTGGAAACCACCTTTTCCTAATTCCTCCCCATGGGGCACCTGTCTAGTCTACATGGGATTCTAGGACTGACTGCCAACAGGAGTGGAGAGACCACTGAACCATAGGAGCTTCTGACAGTCCAACCTCTGCCACACCTCACCGTGTGGCCTCTCCACGCCTCAGTTTTCTCGCTTGCAATTTGAGGGGGCCTGAACTAAATGGACTCTGAGTTCCTTTTCTGAGCTAATATCACTTGAGTCTGGGATCACTGGATCCTGGCTGCCTTGGTCCTGACTCCCAGCTAGCACAAGTCACACAGCAGATGGGCTGGGGTGCAGAATGCCTCAGGGTACACATACAGGGTGAATTTGGCCAACAGTTCTGTATTATTTAGAGCTTTCCCCGCCGCACCGCCCCCCCCCCAAGTTCAAGTTAAGCGCTCCTGATGTAGGCGGTTTGAACATACCGGGGACCACTTCAGCAATCCTAGCAAGGCTGGCTTCTTTTAGTATGTGCACAGAACGCCAATAACCTGGAATTCTTGTCCACAACCCATCCGCAGTCTTCTCCATGAGTTCATTATACAGCGCCACCATGCGGGGGCTCCAGCTGGTGTTCGGGAGGGAATAATCCTTTTTGTCAGACTGGGTGTGTTTGCTGCTTGACACCTGAAAAGTTGAAGAGGCAGCAGACTGTGGCCAGCACAATTCCAACTTGACACATTCACTGGACCCTTAACTGAATGCAGGGGCCTGTTTCTCCCAGGCAGAGCATGCACAAATGCCCAGAGATGAGAGAGTGTGTCAGGTTCCCAGAATGTAGGGGGGAATTGCACTGGAGGAGGCCCGAGAGAAAGCTGGAGACCCAATCAACTGTGCTAAAGACTCTGGGCTATCCCGAAGCGTTTTAAGCAGGAGAACAAGCCAGATTTGCAAACTGGTCATGCTTCAATGACACGGGGGGCTCTGGCTGACCTGCAATCCAAAGGTGGTCTTTTCCTGCCACATTCCTCTTCTCCCAGACCCTCTGTGCCTCCATCTCCTCCTCTCACGTTCTCCAGGCTGCTCAGTGTCTCCTAGACAGTTCATCTTTGCTGACTGTCTATATTCCAGGCCTATTTGCTGTTCCATCAAAATCGGGAGGCTCCACCAGGGACCCTCTTTTCTGACAGATGAAGAGGATTCAGTCTAGATTGCCAGCTCTCTCCATCTCAGAAATTTTGGGGAATTTATCATATGGCAACACCTTCCTGTACCTTCTACCTCATTATTGTTTGTGTTCACTGGTGCCAATCAGAACACTGTCTATGTGTTCTAGTGCATTTAGGTTGTTTACTCGGAATTGCCTGGATATGGCCTTCCCTACCTAAGCAGAAGAGAAATACAGATTCTTAAATGATTTATGAATAGACAAGGTCTTATGGGGATGGAGGTGGAGAAAAACTCTGACAGGAATGATTGACAACCTTTACTACTCTCCTGGGGAGACTCTTCTTCAGTGAGTTAGTAGACAGTATGGTGGCTTTTGAATTCAGTCTCCAAACATGTTTCCAATTAATACACTGCACCTTTTGCCACTTCTGATTTAATTGCTCTGAGCATCAGTTTTCCAATCTATAAAATGTGAATAATACTGATATAGAGGGAATAAATATAACTTCCAATGTGTTAGATGTCAGATTCACTGGTTTGTATTCAAATTCAAAGAATGAATTTTAAGGAACAATGGAGGTTAAGAGTAGGAAAAATTTATTGAGACAGAGAGCTCCCGAGAGACAGGAGGGGGACCAAAAGTGGGTTGCCAATGAGCCCACTTTTCAAAGGAAGTTTTATGGAGCAAAACAACGAGGTAGGTACAACGTGGGTTGATGATCATAATCAGGAGGGGTGGCACATGACTGTACTCCCAGCACTTGGGAGGCTGAGGCAGGAGGATCACTGTGAGTTTGAGGCCAGCCTGAAGTATATAGTGAGTTCAAGCCCAGCCTGAACTAATAACAAGACCCTATAAAAAAAAAACCCCAAAAACCAAAAACTGTGATAAACCAATAAGATCACAAGTATAGCTGCTTAGGTAATACTGATCTAATGGGAAAGCAGGTCAGGTAACAAGTATACATGGAAAGAACAAGGATCTTTTTAAGAAGGGATAGATCAAGAAGTCCTGGTCACCCACCTGGGTGACTGATGTCTACCTAGACTTTATTAGACCAAGTGAAACCACTTATCTTATCTTATCTTGTGGGGAGGTATAAGGCTCGGTCATTCTGTCTTTATCTTGAAGCCTGGCCTTCAACAGATGTGCCTCTAGCCACAGTTATAATGTGTTCTCATCCTCTACACTGACTCCCTCAAGGGCCCAGCCTGTCTGACTGCTTATATTTCTACCTAACTTAGTGTCTATAATAATACCATCTGACCTGCAGATTGCTGTGAGGAATGCATAGGACCTGGGGTCATATACAAATGTACTGGCCCAGGACCTGATCAAAGTAAACATTCCAAGATGTTAAGGTTGTCTAAATCCAACAGGGAAAAGCCCCTTTCCCTAGATTGATCTCAAGAAATTCTTTCTTAGCAATGATCATATCAAACATTGAAAATGTGAAAGGGATGGCATCCAACTGATGCTACTTATTAGCATTCAAGTTTCATACAATTCACTTTTAATTTTGACTACTTTTTGTTGTCTAGAAAATATCTCATCAAAATGTAATTAGTGTTTTCCCTTGAGGCTGCACTGCTCAGAGTTTCTTTTCCCAATTCTGCTCACTCTTGGGATTGGTAACCCAACTTCCCCTATTAGAAATGTTTAGCAGGAACTGTATGATGGCTTTAGATTTGGTAAGAATGGGACAGGTGGAAAAAGTTGGACGAAATAACAGATCGGATACATATTAAAATAGAGAAAGCAGAATTTAGAGCAGTGCCTGGAGTATAGAAAGCACAACACTTTTAAACAACTCCAAACACACTCAGCCACCTCATCTTCAACAAAGGAGCCAAATACCCTCACTGGAGGAAAAATAGCCTCTTTAATAAATGGTGCTGGAAAAATTGGGTTTCAACTTCTCAAAGATTAAAACTAGGCCTATATCTCTCACCATGAACTAAATTAAAATTGAAATGGATTAAAGATCTAAATATTAAAACAGAAACCCTGAACTGGCTGGAACAGAGGTTAGGTAGAATTCTTGAAGACATTGGTGTAGAAAAAGATTTTCTGAACAAAACTTCAGTTGCTCATGAACTAGCACAAACAATCAACAAGTGGGATCTCTTCTTACTAAAAAGCTTCTCTACAGTAAGAGAAACCACCAACAGTGTGAAGAAGCATGAAGTGGGAAAAAATTTTCACCAGCTGTCCCTCAGACAAAGATCTACTATCTTGAATCTATAAAGAACTTTAAAGAATCAGACCTCCCAAATTTAAAGACCCAATCTGAAAATGGGCACCTGAAATGAACAGACATTTCTCAGAGAAAGGAGTAGAAACAGCAAATAAATATATGAAAAAATGTCCAACATCGCTGGTCATTCGAGAGATGCAAATGAAAACAATGCTGAGATTCCACCTCACTCCAGAAAGAGTGGCTCCTATCAAGAAATCAACCAATAATAAATGCTGATGGGGCTGTGGGGAAAGAGGAACCCTGCTCCACTGCTGATGGGAGTGTAGACTGGTGCAACCACTGTGGAAATCAGTATGGAGATACCTCAAAGACCTAGGACTGGAAGTCCCATTTGACCCAGCTATTTCCCTGCTTCTTTCCCCAAAGAATTAAAAGAATCATACCACAGTGATATACGTGCACCCATGATCACAGCAGCACAATTCATGACAGCTAAAACTTGGAAACAACCCACTTGCCCATCAACTGGAAACTGGATAAAGAAAATGTGGTTTTTTAATAAAATGAAATATTACTCAGCCATAAAGAATGAGAAACTAGAGACATTTATAGCTAAATGGATGCACATTGAGGTGATACTCTTAAGTGAAATAAATAGGACACACATGTGTAAATACCTAATAGTCTCTCTAGTGTGAGAAACTGAAAGTGTAAATGAGGACTAAAAGTATAAGAGATAATGTGAAATAGGAAGAAAAGGGGCAAAGGGGAAGGGGAAATGGGAGGGGTAGGGGAAAGGAAAGAAGGGAATGGAATTAACATGAGAAAAAGAAAAAATGGAAACAAAGTCTTTGCAGATACTGAGGGGTGGAGAGGTTGAAGGGAGGGCAGGGAAATGGGGAAAAAATAAGAACCAAGATGGATTATGTAAAGGTGCAAATTTCCAACAATGAATGTCATTATATTGTGTACCTAAAATGTACCAATAAAATTAATAAAAATAAAAATAAAGCACAACAGCTTTGAGAGCTCTCCCTCTCCACTGAGCCAAGTAGAGAAAGCTCCTTTTAAGAGTGTAGAGTCTGGGCTCTAAGTCTCCATTCTGACAATCGCTGCTTGACCTTGTGCAGGCCACCTTGTATTTCCAGGCCTGTTTCCTCGTAGGTCAAGGAGGGCAGCAGACAAGTTGGTAGCTGAGGTCCCTTACCAACTCTATCACTCTGGAGTCTATGACCAGCCTCCCAGCCACCCAGCATGTGGCATTTGATAAGCTACTCACGGAGATGGGCTGGACTGGTGTCCAGGCTGGGGCCTGATGGCCAGCCAGGGCGCGGAGAAGGGGTGCTGCATGTCTGCACCCCACCAGCCATCTGAGGCCTCTCTGCAGCATGCCGTCCTGCTGAGCTCTGCTACCTGAATGTCCTCACAAAGGCCAGCCTTCACGTAGCTGCACAGCAGTGCCTGAGGCTCTGTCTTAGCCAGTCTGGTCTGTTTCCTTAGGAAGGGAGTGAACAGAGGTAAAAACCCACCCTCTTTGCACTCAGCAGGCAAGACAGGGATAGCAGAACCAGAAGGGACATTAGCCAATCATGAGTTAGAAGTTACAAATGTGTTTGATCTTTAGAGAGGCCAGAAACAGTTTCGTTGTGTTAACTTGGTGCCTGAAACAATTGAATCAACTTAGAATGTTTTGCTGACCCAGGGTTATTTAGATGACTAAAACTAGGAACTGGTGTTACTAGCTTCAGTTCTTTCCTGAACTGAGAACAGATGGTCCTGAACATCTCATCTAGTTTTTAACTTTGTCTTGAAGTGGCCCTGTTCCTTCCTTCACTCAACAGATATTAAGGAAACACCTATTATGTGTTAGGACTTATATTTAATCCAAACTTTTCCATCTTTCCCCAAATAATCCTTCATGTATTTTCTCCCTGATCCAGAATCCAATTTAGGATCAAACATTTCAGTGAATTTTCAAGTCTTTTTAGTGTCCTGTAGTCTGGAGCAGCTCTCCAACCTTTCCTTGACAGGTATCTTCTTAACATGCCACACATCTACTCACAGATAAACATAGGAAGGAATGAGATGCAGTTCCTTCTCTGGCACTGTGGGCAACTGGTGGTTCTGCCAGCCAGTGATTGGTAGATGGCATTAAAATACGTCATCACCCTGTAAATCCCTCCCATGTCAACCAGAGGCAGCTTTATTACTATCTCCATATTGCACATAAGGAAACTGAAGCACAGACTAGTTGAAATATGTTGACCTAAGTTTCACCACTCGTAAAAAGCCTCATATGCTTTATATTTATAGTATTTTTTATATTTATAATATTAGTAATAATTAATGGTTATATGTATACGAAGGGGTTTACATATTACAGATGGGCTATCAGTTCTGTGGGGCAGGCAGGTCCGACAGCATCATCATGGTCCCCATATCACCTGAAGCCCTGAAGTGAAGGGCTGCCCTGAAGTGACTGCCCTGAAGCCCAGGCGGGTGAGTTCAGGACAGCTGGTAAGTGAAGGAGCAGGCCCAGAATGGGTCTTCAGATATAACTTTTGAGCTGTCCTCTCAGGAAAGCTTAGGTGGTTCAAGACCCAGAAGTGCATCCTGCTTCAGAAGAGTTGGCTGCTCTAAGTGGTCTTTGCAGGTGTCAAAGGGAGCAGAGTCCTGGTAGCCGACAGTCTGGCAGAAGGTGGCGGGACTTCTCAAATCTCACACCAGCTACAGAGCTGGCCCCATCCTATGTGCCCAGCATGGTGCCTGTTCCACAGGGCTGGCTGTGCTGAGAGTCACATCCTCTGGGGCACAGCCTGTGCTGGGCCAGGCAGCGGGGGCAGCTGGGCTGAGAAGCACAGGGCATGTGTGAGCAAGGCCGTGGCCCTGCTGGCTGCCACAGGAAGGAGGGTGCATAGAAAGAGCTCACTGTTTGGGGGATACCCCTGCTCTCCAATTCCAGTTTGGCAGCCCCTGGCTTAACAACAATCATCTTCTTTTTTACTCAACAAATGATTTTTAATGCCATTTCCTCATTATCACAGTGCCAAACGTAAGGGTGTCCCAGGAATGATTTTGTCTGGGTGGAATGGCCCAAGAGAAAGGAAGGGCACCCTTCCATTACCAGGAGCTGAGTGTAATTTGCAGGTTGACTACTGCAATCCAGAGAAGGTCACTCTGACTCTACATTAGGCCAAACTGTTTTCTCTTCCCATGCATACCTGTGCACATACACAATCTTCTTCCATTCTGAAATCCTTTTTCCTTACACCAAGGTCATGAAGATCTTCTTTTATATTATTGTTTATCATTATATCTTGTCTATTCTTGACAATTTGCTTTTTAAAAAATGAATTATGGAATCTTTTATGTTGCCATAATTTCTAAAGGATATTTTCACTGAATATGAAATTCTGGTTTGGCAGTTATTTTCTTTTGACTCTTTAAAAATGTGAACACTTTTTCTACTTTAAGTGTTCTTATTCAAAAGTCTTCTTTTGCTTACATTCCTTCCCCTTATTGCTATAAATCAGTAAAAAATACGGGTGAGATTCTCAGATTCTGGCAAATACCTCCACAGGAAACGCTGACTCAAATGCTGAGTTCACCTCTGTGGATTTATGTCATTTTCCAGGCTCTTAGGCCTTTTCAGTTTTCCACAATAGATGGGTTGATCTAAAATGGTACTTCCAAGGTTAGATCATGGTTTATTTTGCACACATAAAAAGGAGCACAGGGTTGAAAACATTTTGTTAAATGAAATAAACCAGACACCAAAGTCACATATTATATGATTTCATTTATGTGAATTACCCAGAGCAGGAAAATCCATAGAGACAGAGCAGATCAGTTCTTGGAGTGGAATAGGGAAAAAGGGAGCACAGAGTGGTGGCTTAATAGGTCTGAGACGTCCATTTGGGGTGTAAAAATATCCTGAAACTAGCTGGGAGTTTAAGAAATAAAAATGTAAAGTGGTCTGTTTTCAAGCATGCATTTAAAAAGTCCCTAAATGGACAGGACCTTGAGAGGGAGAGATAAAAATACTAAGAGAGCAACCTTTGTAGAATGTAGGCATGAGTAGAGGAAGAGAGAAGAAAAGCATATTTTCTAGCTAAGACTAAGGAGCAACATAGTAACTGCAAGGTCAAAGGAACATCTGCTTCTCTTGGAAAATTCCAAAGTAAAGAATAAACAATACCCTGAAGAAATCCAAACTCAAATTGGGAGGCAGACTGGGAGACTACCCTATAAAGAAGTAATAAAAACATAGGCAATGTTCAGGGAAGGTTTGCCTCCCATAGTACTCTCAGCCAATGAGGAAATGGAAGAAGGGACCTGTGTGCTGGGCGTTAAATTGCTCACTGTGGCTGTCCCGGGTGTGCCCGTCCACCAGACACCCTGCCTTACAAGGTTAAAAGCCTTGCTTTTACTACTCCTTTCTGCCTGAGTTCATTCTTTGGGTCTGGGCAAGTGAATGCATTTCTCACAACTGGGGGCTCATCTGTGACATCTGTGCCCACGTGGACTGGGTCCTACTCCCACTGCACTTTGGGCTGGACTGCTCTGCCCAGATATTCTGTCTCCTTATCGAAGTCATAGAAAACCCAAGACCCTTGTTCTAAAGACAGCAAAACTGATCCAACCTAGGCATGGAGTGAGTGTGCAGTCCTGATCCATGATTTCATTCTCCCATGAGGGAAATAGCTAGAGATGGACAAGCAATAGTGCTGGAGAGTTAAATGCACAGAATGGGTGGTTCAGGTTCACGGTGCACAAGAAGTCTCCACTGTGGGGTGAATTGTGTGCACAGGGAAACAGTTCATTGGGTGTGCAAGAAACCTCTGTAGCAGGGTCTGGGGATACAGAGAAACTCAGCCATGGAGCCCAGCCAGGAGTGGGAAATAAAGGTTCTAGGCCTAGGAAAACAAGACACTCCCCAGATAGTTGCTGGGACGAATGTTAGAGGGCTGGATAGCTCTCATAATAAGGATAAAGAAGAATTTTTTAAAATCAGAGAAAGAACAAAAAGTAAACATCATGGTCTCCACTATAGGACAATTAGATCAGGACTCCACACAAAGGAGATGAGGAAAGGGAAGGAATCAGTAGGTAAACAAAAGTGGAAAGCCTCCAGGGGAAGAACCCTACAACAACAAATACATGTTTTAATTGTGGGTAGCCAGGGCATTTTAAAAAAGAGTATCCAGAAAGAGAAAGAAAGAAAGAAAGAGAGACAGAGCAAGAGAAGGAAAGCAAGCAAGCAAGCAAGCAAGAAAGAAAGAAAGAAGGAAGGAAGGAAGGAAGAAAAGAAAGGAACAGAGCACAGTAGGCTCCTCCAGGCTCTAGACAATTCCCATGCATCTGCTTAGTTTATGTTTTATGTTTGTGTAACAAAAAGATAACGTGTCATTGGCACATACTGTCCATAGTCCTTTGTCTCCCTTATAAAGGCTATAGTTTAAACTGGGTCCTAATGGATAATAAAGTTGTGGTTAGCTTCTCTCAAGGGATCTAGGGAAGGGAACCAGTCCTCCTTCAAGGAGTTGACAAGAGCCCATTGTTGCAAATCTTGGCAGATTGATAAATTTACTTTTGGATTCCAATTTTATTTGGTATTTTTGTTTAATTGATATGCTTAAAACATTTCTTGTGCATTGAAGATAATTCTTAAACTGCAATGATAGGGTTCACTTGCTCTTCTACTTGGACTCAGATAAGGGTTCTGCTCAGGGTTACGTGCTGGTTTGTTGGCAGCGAGCCAAAATTAAAATGTAACCATTTATAAACTCACTCAGACCAAGAGGAAAAAAGTGAACCAGGGACATTTTAAAATCCAACTGGCTACAGAAAGAAGCAAGTAGGATAAAGAAAAAATATATAAAGAAAGTAATAAAGATATCTTTTTGGTGTAAGAAAATTTTGAATTAAATTCAAAATAGGTAGGTTTTGCCCTACCAGGATAGAAAAAGGAAAGATAGTGGCAAAACTAGTAGGTACAAGCATGTTTTTATAAAAAGGATAAAGTTTGTAAAAAAAAAATTGTATGGTTTATTGATGGCAGTGCCAAATTATGCAGGTCAAATCACTGATATAGAAGGAGCCATTGGGGTCCCCAGGCTCTGTGTGATGCAATACTCAGAAACTATGGGTGCCTAGGAATTTATACATTGCTATACAGGTTGGTAGATGCTGTGTGACATGCCAAAAGGTAAATAAGAAGATGATTAGAAAACACATTACAGGAGGAAGACCTCACAGAATAAGGCCATTTCAAGTAAATAAGCAGATGCCTCTAACATACAAAAAAAATAATTTATAATTGCTAGAGGCCAAATCAGACTCAACCTCTTATGGAGGAGTGATTTGAAAACCACAAGACAGGTAAAATGGGAATTAAAATGGGACCAAACAGTTACAAAGAAAAGAGGAGGAATATTTTCCACCTACTTCCCAGTATCTACCATCCATTTTGGTCCTTATTTACCCTTTGGGGTTCTCACACAAGAGAAACAATGAGATATTTAA